AGTCTGACAATGAAGGGGCCTGAAGCCCAGAGGAAACAGGCTGCTCAATGTTGGGGCTAAAGCGACAACAGAGAGAAGTCTGTCCTTCTGGCGGCCCAGTAACAGAACTCGCCCTGGGGGCTGACTTCCCCGGGGCCTGGTCCCTGGGAGGGGCGGGGAACCCTCCACGGTTACCAGCGGAATCATCCGCGCATCCTTCTGCGCGCGGCGGGCCTCGGATGCTGTCAGGTCGTGGGACCTGCCAACCGCGATAACAGAATCCAGGAGCCCCAGGCGGGCTAGGGCGGGGTAGCGGGGGCGGGAATGGCCTTGGGAAGACGAGGGAACCAGCTCCCACCATCGGCTGGATAACGCCCCGCCGCCTCCGGGCAGGACGAAGCTAGCTTCGGGTAAGGCCGGCTTCGCGCCGGCGCCCGAGACCGGGCCGGGAGCAGGAAGTTGTCCCCCTGGGGTGCGGCTCCTGGGTGCGGCGCTGCAGGTGCAGCGTAAGGTAGTGCAGGCCGGCGTCCGGTGCGCTGGAGGAGGTGAGCGCCAGGTGCCTTCGCAGCCCGGGAGCGCGGACTTGGGCACCGGAGCTGGGCTGGCGGAGGGGACGGTATTTTCCCGAATGGGGTAGGAAAGGGGTGTCGAATTGAGGCTGAGAGCTAGGATCGACCCATCAGAAGGGTTCCCTAATGCAGAACCGGGGCGGACGAACTGATGTCTGCAAGAGACAGTGTGGCCTCCGGCCTCTGGAATGTTTCTGGAGGTCTCGGGCTTGGGAGAAGGAGTGGGAGCAGTGAAAATGGGAGGGGGACCGTAACAAGGTCTGGAAGAAATGACCTGCGCTCTGAAGAGAGGCGCCGTGTCGGTATAGGGACTGGTAGAGGACTGGGGGCAGTGAAAAAGGAGGCAGGAGGGCGTAACACGGGCCGGGAAAGTGACCTGGGCTCGGTAGAGGGCCAAGAGGTGTAGAGATGGTGCCAAGACTCTGGGGCGCATCCCGATTCTGAGAGAGGGAGAAGATGGACCCGAACGGAGCCAAATGGGTAGTAGAAGGAGCATCTGGAGCAAACAGTGAGGATGGGCGGGAGAGGGTGGTAGAGCCCCTCTAGGAACCGGGCGAAGCTCAAGCACCCAGAAAAACCTTCGGTGACTGTGAACTGCAGAGCTCTGCGGCAGGGCAGTGAGCTGGGGCGCAGAGGCAGGTCAGACAGGCCAACGCGGGCTCCGGGAGGCTGTGGCTTTAAGAGCAACCCGGGGCGTGCGGGCTCTTTAAGGAGGGGGCTGGGGGCGTGTCAGGAAATGAGCCTGGGCCCGCCTCGCCCGGGAGGCGGCCTCGGACGTCCGGAGGCTCCGGGGCCGAGCCGAGCGGGAGCCCGCGCCGGGGAAGGCGCGCGCGGCGGCCTGGCGTCCGCCCGGCCTCCACCCACATCCCCAAAGCCCTGCTCCCCGAGCGCTTGGGACCCGCGCTGCTCCCCTCCTGCGCCACCCCGCGGCGCGCCCTCGGCGCCGCCCTGGGCCGGCTCCCCACTCCCCGCAGACCCCTCGCCCTCGAGCCCACGCCTCGCTCCCTCCGCGCGCCTCCGCACGCGGCCCGCGGCCCTCTCCCCGCCCCGCCCCGCCCCGCATCCCGGCGCTTCCCGCCGCCGCTCCTGCTCCTCTCCCCCGGTTTCCCCCTGCGACGCCTCCCCACTAGGCCCCAGCCCCGGTCCCTCGCTGCACCGCTGTCCCGGGCTCACCCTCCAGGGTCTTTCTCCTGAGCTCCCAAGGAGGGAGCCAGCGGTGGAGCAGGACAGCTGTGCTCACCCCAAAGCAGAACTTCATCCAGGAGGAAGGAGGCCGTTAGGTCACCCCTATGTGACAATCGAGGGCTGCGCCTGCAGAAAGCAGCAGCTCCCTGCCCTGTCATCCAGGGAATCCGTTCTGGCCGCCCTGTGACCCAGCTCCTCTGCTACCATGAACAGGGCCCCCCTGAAGCGCTCCAGGATCCTGCACATGGCGCTGAACGGTGCCCCCGACCCCTCTGGAGAGGCCGAGGCAGGCAGCGGGGAGAAGCCCTTTCTGCTGCGGGCACTGCAGATCGCTCTGGTGGTCTCTCTCTACTGGGTCACTTCCATCTCCATGGTGTTCCTCAACAAGTACCTGCTGGACAGCCCCTCCCTGCGGCTGGACGCCCCCATTTTCGTCACCTTCTACCAGTGCCTGGTGACCACGCTGCTATGCAAGGGCCTCAGCACGTTGGCCACCTGCTGCCCTGGTGCTGTGGACTTCCCCACGCTGCGCCTGGACCTCAGGGTGGCTCGCAGCGTCCTGCCACTGTCGGTGGTCTTCATCGGCATGATCACCTTCAATAACCTCTGCCTCAAGTACGTAGGGGTGGCCTTCTACAACGTGGGCCGCTCTCTCACCACCGTCTTCAACGTGCTGCTCTCCTACGTGCTGCTCAAGCAGACCACCTCCCTCTATGCCCTGCTCACCTGCAGCATCATCATTGGTGAGTGATTGGCTGGGGCCCCACCGAATAGGTAGGGCTGGCACAGGGCCAAACTGTAAAGAGCAACCAATCCTTCCAGGCACCTTTGTCCTAGTTCCCTTGGTTCAGCAGTCAGAGAGGAAGAGCCTGGGGCCCAGAAAGAACACATGACTGCCCAGGGTCATGTAGCAAGGTAGTTGCCCAGCGTGTGCCAGAGTAATAATTGCAATAATAATAGCAACAGCGGCAGCAAAAGTGACTGACATTGAGTTCTTAAAATGTGCCAGGCACACATATCCAGGCACTTTACCCATATTAACTAATACTCATTACAAGGTCGGATTATAACCCACATTTACAGAAGGAAAGCCAGGGCGCGGAGAAGTTCAATAACTTGTTCAAGATCACAATGCTGATCACTGGCGAAGCGGCCACATGCTTGACCCTTTGTTGTTTCCCAAAAGCTCAAGTGTCCTGAGTACCCATCCCCCTCTCTTTGTAGAGGACAGTGCATCTTAGTAAATACACCATCACCCTCTGTCCTTGCTAGCCCGGATACCATCATCTCAGACTTGACCCTCAGAAGAAAATTACTGATAGTGGTTTTATGCTCTCATTTCACATACAACATCTCCTTCGACTGCCCAGAAGTCCTGTGTGTGATGGTATCCCATGATCATCTATCTCCATGCAAATGAGGAAACTGAAGCTCAGAGAGGTTAACTTACTAGCCCGGGACCACAGAGCTGGCAAGTAACCAAGCTAGGATGTAAATCCGGATTGGCCAGACTCCCAGGCCTATGCTTCCAGTCTGCTCTGTTCTTGAACACTGGAGGCCAGAGCTTTACTGTCCAATTCAGGAGCCACTGGCCACGTGCACATTGGTTAAATGAACTTTTAAGTATTCGTTTCCTCCTATGCAAGGGTTATCACCAGATTCTGCAGCCGCGTTTCCGGTGCTCTGTGGCCACATGTGGCTAGGGGCTCTTGTGTTGGACAGCACAAGCCGTAGAACATTTCCTTATTGCCAAGGGTCAGGTGCCTCGCGGTCCACTAGGCTCTGCCACCTAGGAGTGGGATCTTTATTTGCACCTGCTCGGGTTTTTCCTCAGCACCATAACGTGTGGCTTATTTGGCCTACATACGCTTCCCTGGTGTCCCAGAGTCCCCGACTCCGTGCACTAGTGGAGGGGGAAGGGCCCCTCCACACCATCTGTCCTCGAAATTCTCTCTCCTGGTTGAACAGCCATTGGACCTAGGGCTGCTGTGTCTTAGGCCCAAGAGGGGAGAAGAGAGAAGGGCAAGGTTATCGTGGGAGGAGTGGCCAGCAGCCCTGCCCAGGGAACCCCCAGCCCCTGCTGCCTCCCTCTGGGCCTCACCTCCTCTCTGTCACCCCAGGGGTCTCCACTTAAGTGTCTCTGCCTCTGCCAGACACGGCATGGGGTGGGCCTCCTGGTGGGAGAATATGTGTGCCGGAAGGGAACTGAGCCCAGGTCCCCAGAGTAGCCCAAGTGGCCGTTGGCAAGATAGCTGCTGAGAAGGCGTCTGCTGCTGCAAGACCTGCCCCTATCTGCAGGTCCCCTTCCTTCCTCCTTTGGGAAGTATGTCTCAGCTACTACTCAAGGCCCTCCTCCTGGCCTCCCATGTCACATAGAACCTCCAAAGCTCCCTCTGTGGGACAGTGCTCTGGGGTCTGGAACCTTGAGGTTGCAGTCCCAGTTGGCTGGGGGGCTGGGGGTGCTGTGGCTAAGCTGGAGTGGCCCCTGTGCCCCCCTGCCTCAGCAGCCTGTGGGTACCTGTGTGCCAGGGCTCTGCCAAGACAAGGAGGACTGCGTGTCCGGGGCCTGGGACCTAATAGGTGCCTGCCGTCCTTTTTCTGAAATAGGTCTCCCTTTGTTGCCCAGGCTTGTCTTGAACCCCTGGGCTCAAGCGGTCCTCCTGCCTCAGCCTCCCAAGCTGGACTACGGGTGCGCACCAGGCGTTGAGCTGTGTCTCCTTTAATACATGCACCCGCTGTTCAGCCAGCAGCGATTAATTGGTCACTAAGCATGTGCCAGGCTTTGGTGTCACAAATTTGGAAAAGGTAGCCTCAGCTCCCACACTCAGAGGGCCTGGCCATGGTGCCTGGCAGTGATAACAGCTCTGCCTGGGGGGTAAGGGCAGCGATGGGGACCCAGGAGGTGTTTGGAGGAAGGGGACTGGGGAGGGGGCCATCTAAGCAGACTTTCTGGGGAAGCCCTGCCTGACGCCAGGCTGCCCAGTTAGAGCTCAAGGGTGACCATGCGGTGCAGGCCTTGGGGGCCCAGGTGAATGAGCCGAATTTTTCTTGACAGCAGTTGGGAGCCACAGAGAGGCCTTGTACCTGCCAGGAACCGCGGGAAGATTCCTCAGGTTGCAAGGTTAAGAGTTGGAAGGTGCTGGGTGCCGTGGGGTGTGTCTCTAAGGAGGAGAATCCCAAGCAACTTAGCAGGGCCCTGTCTCAAAATTAAGAATAAAAAGGGCTGGAGATGTGGCTCAGTGGTTAAGGGCCCCAGGTTCAATCCCTGATACAAAAAAAAAAACAGAATAAAAAGGGCTGGGGGTAGCCCAGTGGTAGAGCATCCTGGGTTCCATCCCTAGTATCCCCCCACCCACAAAAAATAAAAAAGGGAATAGATTGGTTAGAGTGGGGAATCAAGAAAGTGCCCCAGATCTTTACAAATGAAGGAAACTGGAGCTCTGAGAGGTTAAGTAACTTCCCCCAGGCCACTCAGCTTCTGAAATGCACAGCCCAGTTGGAGGTCAGGTCTCTCTGACAACCAAAGCTGTTCCTGCTACCCCGTCTTATTGGCTGCTAGGGCAGGAGATGTCATGTGTCAAACCCAGCCCCCACCTTCTGGGAGCATGGGGTCTATCAGATGCCTAGCAGCCCAGGCCAGGCCAGTGGCTTAAGAGGTCAAGGGCTGGAGGTGTCAGAAAGGATTCCTCCTGGAGAGGCCGACTTTGACCTTGAAGGGTGAGTCGAATCCCTCTGGAAAGGAGGCGTCTTCTGGGGCAGACATGAGGCAAGGACACTGAGGCCCGTGAGGAGCAGGGAGATCCAGGTGCTGGTGAGCCCAGGCAGAGACGGGCCGGAGGGTGCAGCGAGCCAGTGTGCCCGCCCAGGCTCAGTGCAGACTTGCTGGTGGGCAGCGGGGAGCTGTGGAGGCTCTCTCTCAGAGCAGGAGGTGAGTCTTGGGGTGACTGTCCCCAGATGCCTCAGGCCAGAGTGATTCCAGCGTAATGCTCCTGTGATGAGGTCCATGGAGAAGGAGCCAAACTTAGAGACCCTGGCCCTGGCCCAGTCACCTTAACACTAAGTGGCATTATCCCAAAGCTGCTCCTTCCAGGTGCCCAGGGCCAGCACAGCACGCTGTTATCCTATGGCCTCTTCACAGTGTTTCTGAGGCAGGTTAAAGCACTGGGCAGTGGTCCGTGGAAGGATGTTCCCCTCTGCTGGATAGGAACGGGGCCTCACTCGGGCCTCTCCCCCAGCCCTGGGATTTTGCTGGGGGGAGAGGGCCGGGTGGATTTGTGGAAGGAGGTATGGGGAGGGCGGCGTGGCCAGGGCCACACAGTGGACTGTGAACTGTGGGGTCAGAGTCTGTCCCTCTCCCCTGCCTTGGTCTGCATGTCGCAGACCAGGTGGCTGAGGAATGGCAGGGGCCGAGTCCCCCACGGTGCTGGAGTCTGGGAAGTTCAGGATAGGAAGGACATCTGCAGAGTCAGTGTCCCTGGGCCGAAGGTGGTGCCTCTGCTGACCGGGCATGGTAGGGCACAGGCCTCTTGCAGAAGAGCACTGTTCCCGACCCTGAGGCCCCTGTCCCTGAGGGCGAGGCCTGCGGCATGAACCTGGGCAAACATTCCGGTCACGTGCCCTTCTCCTTGGCCTCCTGGCCTCCGGGTAGCTTTTACTGCCCTGTCCCTTCCGGTGGGCGCTGTGCCACTCCACCTCCGGGTGCTGTCTGCCTCCAGTCCTCAAGGTGCTCCTCCCCCTCTGCCCCGCCCTGCCCCTCTCCCTGCTGCAGGTGGCTTCTGGCTGGGTGTGGACCAGGAGGAGGCCGAGGGCACCCTGTCCTTGGTGGGCACCGTCTTTGGGGTGCTGGCCAGCCTGTGTGTCTCGCTGAACGCCATCTACACCAAGAAGGTGCTCCCGGCGGTGGACGGCAGCATCTGGCGCCTGACCTTCTACAACAACGTCAACGCCTGCGCCCTCTTCCTGCCCCTGCTCCTGCTGCTCGGGGAGCATCAGGCCCTCCTGGACTTCGCGCAGCTGGACAGCGCCCACTTCTGGGGGATGATGACGCTGGGCGGCCTGTTCGGCTTCGCCATCGGCTACGTGACCGGGCTGCAGATCAAGTTCACCAGTCCCCTGACCCACAACGTGTCGGGCACGGCCAAGGCCTGCGCCCAGACGGTGCTAGCCGTGCTCTACTTCGAAGAAACCAAGAGCTTCCTGTGGTGGACCAGCAACGCCATGGTGCTGGGCGGCTCCTCCGCCTACACCTGGGTCCGGGGCTGGGAGATGAAGAGTCAGGAGGACCCCGGCCCCAGGGAGGGCGAGAAGAGCACCGTGGGGGTGTGAGCCTCCTCGGGGACCTGCGGCCACCAGCCCCAAGGGTGAAGTCGGGGCTGGAACCGAAGGCTCTCCCTGCGGACCCCAGGGCGAAGTGGACATTGTTTACAGACAGATCAGAATACGGGGCTGAAAAGGAGCCAGCGTTCCAAGTAGATCAGAAAGTTGCCAAACCTGTCCCCACCCCTGTCCTATTGATGGACACCATACTGAGGGCAGCACCCTGCCCGTCCCCCACCAGGTCCTCTACCTCCACATCACCCCTGGGGTTGGACAGGGCTGCCCCCTCAAGGGTAGTATTGGTGAAGTGAAGTCTCACTTATACTCAAGGGAGATGGGGTGACCCCAACAGCCAGCCCAAGCTGGTCGGTCACTCACATCTCCCAGGCCCTGGGCAGGAGGGTAGCGCTGGCCCCGCAAACCAGCCTGTGTTGGGAGGCTGTGGGGCCGAGCCTGGGGGGCAGTGGACCAGTGCACCCCATTCTCTGTGCTGAAAGCAGGTGAAGGGTCAGTTGTGCCCGTGCCTGACCTGGGAGTGGGCTGGGTCTTGAGAAAGTGCCACCTCTGTGCCCAGGCTTTGCAGCCTTGGAACGTGAGGGAGCCACCTGTCTCTTTCAGGTTGAGTGGAGACATGAACTGCTCCCTCAGTCCCTGGGCTGAGATGAACCTGCCTGAGTCCGCTGCCCTGGGAGGGCCACTCTGGTCTCCGAGCACCTGCCACAGGTACCTGGCTGAAGTGACAGTCTTCTGGAAGCCACTTCTGCCTCCCCCAACGCCTCCATCCCCGGGAGGGGCCGTGGGGCCGGAGGGGAAGCTTCTGCACCGGCTGCTCCCCTCCCCGCTCTGAGCCTCTCCGTCATTAAAAGATCAGCGCAGACACATTCCTCCCTGGGGTCCTGAGGTCGGGGTTCACAGACCTTCCTGTCCCTGCCTTGGTCCCGGGCTCCTACAACAGCGCGTCAGACCAGGCAGCTGAGGAGCAGCAGGAGCCCGGCCCTCAGTGCTGGAGGTGGGGAAGTTCAAGATAAGGTGGGGCACCACGGGGTCAATGTCCCTGGTCGGAGGTGGCCCCCTGGCATAGTGGGGGCACCGGCAAGCCCCCTGAGCCTCTAATCCTGTTCCTGGGGGCTGGGCCCTGCCACCTAACGCCTCTGAACAAACCCCCAGACCAGAGGGGGCCTCTCGCCACAGCCTCAGGGTTCCTTTCACTGCTCCGTCCCTTCCACTGGACATTGGCACCTCCCGCCTCCTGGGGTGGTATCTGGTGTTGTAGGAACAGCAGCGGAAGGCCAAGGAGATGTCTGCCTGCCAGCGTCCCCTCCAGCCCCCCCCATCCCAGGCGCCCCATGTGGTTCTCATGAAGTTGGTGGGCCAACGCCCCAGGCCCTGCACTCTTTAATAAGAAGCCAGCAAAAACCCCCCTGTGTGTGCACCGAGGGCGGGGCCACAGGTCCCCAAGGGGACTTGGGAGCATGGCCCTGGGGAGAAAAGCTCTTAGGACAAGGGGTGGGTCCAGATCCATGCTTCCTTGGCTCCTTCCTGGGAGGTGTGTGGCCAATGGCTGCTGCCTGGGGCTCTGCTTCCGTCACTCATCCTCGGTGCTCCCTTCCCAAGGTGCAGGCCATCTGCCCCCCATTGTACACACGAGGACACTGAAGTTCAGAGGGGGCTCTGCTTTCCATAGTGCTGAGCTGTGACCCAGCACCTACCGTGTCCCTGACCCCCGCCCAAGTCTATTGAACCCGCGGGTCAGGGCTGACCTGTGACTTGCTCAACAGAAAACGGGTCACTCAGCTTCTAAGGCCTTCATTAAGCCCAGAGCTTCCACTCTGCCTGCTTCCCACCTGAGGTCAGCGGCCCCTCCCCACAGATGAACACAGCCACACAAACGCCGTAGGTGAGACCAGCAGAGGGACCAGCCAGTCAACCACAGAATCTAAGGAAATCGTAAACTGTTGTGAGCCTCTAGATTCTGGGGTTTTTTGCAGCAAGAGTTAACTAATCAGTGGGTGGGACAGAGTTCTGTGAAGGAAACAGGTTTCAGAAGGGCAGGAGCCAGCATCCTGTAACCAGCAGCAGCAGGAGTTCACAGACCTCCAGCCGGAGCACCCCACGAATCCCCACAGCTCACTTGCAAGGTCATCCCAGCCCCTGAAGGGCAAGGCACCCCACTTCCGGGCAAGGACAGACCATTGCTGGAGGGCCTGTGGGTGGGCCCCAGAGGGTGCTGGGACAGCAGCCCCCACGGCCCTGGAGTGCTCGTGTGGTGGACACTGATGGGTGAGAAATTGTGACCCAAAACGTTTTGATTTTTTTTTCCTGATTTGATATTTCTTTGTTCAGAAAATCCTCTTTGGTTTTGAATTTGCCCAAGCCCTTTATTTTGAATTAAGGAAACTAAGGTCTAAAAAGGTTAAAAGAAGTTTCTGAGGTCACAGAGCAAATGACTGGCTGAGCCCACAGTAGAACATGTGTCTCCAAGATGCTGTGTTTGCTCAAGGTCACGTGGCTGACTGGCTTTGAGTTATTTTTTTTTTAATATTTACTTTTTAGTTTTTTAGGTGGACACAATGTCTTTATTTTATTTTAATGTGGTGCTGAGGATCGAACCCAGTGCTTCATGCATGCCAGGCGAGTGCGCTACCACTTGAGCCACATCCCCAGCCCTGAGTTATTTTTTAAATTAAGCAAACACTTAACCTTTCCTAGGTATGAGGCACTGTTGAAAGTATTTTTACAAAATTTCAATTCATTTGATCTTCCTGACAATCCTATTGAAAATGGGTATAATCATCATTTCCTGTCTTACAGACGAGAGAAACTGAGGCACAGAGAGACTGAGTAATTTGAGATCACACAGCTAATAAGTGTCAGAACTAGAAGTTAAACCCAGGCAGCCTGGCTTTCAACCAAAAAACCATGGTGCTTCCCTAGTATAAAAAATATATATATTATTTGGGGGTTTTCTATCATAATAATCCCATAATATAAGTAAAGGTAAGATAATCTAAAGGTGAAAAGAGTCCAAGTGTTAGGGTCAAAAGATCCAGACTCAAAGCTGTGTGAGTGTAGCCAAATCACTTACCCTCTCTGATCTTATTCCTCATAGGAAAGAAAGTTGTTCTATATTAAGAGAGAACATGGTGACTTAAGGAATCACTATATGTGAATTTTAGTTGCCAGATGGGACAACTGAGGCCAACAGGGTCAAATGACTTGCCAGTACATGACAACAGAGCACAGCACCCCACTCTCCTGGTCCACCTCGACTGGCCAGCTTCCCACGGTACCTTGCGGATGAGGAAGCTGCCTGCTTGGTCCCAGTGTGTCCCCCAAAATTGAAAATTTAATCCCCAGTGCAGGTGTGGAGAGGTGGGGGCCCCTGGAGGTGTTCAGGTCCTGGGGACGGAGCCCTCGTTAACGCATTAAGGTCGTGACTGCAGAGTTGTCATTTGGGGAGTAAGTTTCCTATAAAGGCAATTTCAGGGCTGGGGGCTGTGGCTCAGCGGTAGACCACACGCCTAGCACGTGCGAGGCCCCGGTTTGATCCTCAGCACCAAATAAAAATAAGTAAATGAAATAAAGGTTTTGTGTCCAACTACAACTAAAAAATAAATAAAAATGAAAAGCACGTTCAGTGAGCTGGCATGGTGGCGCACGCCTGTGGTCCTGGCAACTCGTGAGGCTGAGGCAGGAGCGTCCCGAGTTCAAGACCAGCCTTGGCAGCTTAGCAAGACCCTGCCTCAAAAGAAAAAAAAAAAAAAGAGGGGCTGAGGCTGTACGCAGCTCAGTGGTCAAGCACCCCTGGGTTCAGTCCCCAGTACCAAAAAAAAAAGTCCCTTGCTGCCCCCCCATCCCCTCATCCTCCCCCACCCCCCTCCCCCTGCCACGGGGTGAGGCAGGTGGCAGGCCTCCCGGAAGGTGGCCCCCTGACCCTCTCTCCCCTGGCATCAGGACGACAAGAAATGCAGCTCCATCCTTTGTAGATTAGAGTCTCCGTGTTCCATTGTGGCGGGACAAGGACACCTCTCCCCAGACACCGTCCTCACCCGCCTGCTCTTTGGTTTCTGTGAAAGGGCTAAATTTAGGACCAGAAACCAGCTGAAATGGGGACGCAGAGCCTGCTGTGTCGAAGCAGCTGGTCCAGGTGGGGGAGGGAGGGAGAGGGCTGTCACCGACACCCAGTGGGACATGGTGGCCTTGGACCTGGGGATGGTTTGGAAATCAGTCCAGCCCCAGATTCTCCTGTCCAGCCCCGGGGCTCTGAGGAGCCATGTGATGGGCAGAAGGGGCCAGAGCTACCTGGAACCCCCCTTCCCAGCCAGTGCCCTCCCCCTGAGCATGACCATGGGGTTAACTATGACTGTGGTTAGTTACCGACATGAGTTGAGCACTCACTGCGGCCACGTGCTGCTCTCAGCACTTGACGTATTTACACCTGAGACAGAGTCTAGTGACATCCCCGTCTCACACAAGGGGACCACAGAGAGGTCAGCTGCAGGCCCCAGGCCACTCCTAGAGGATAATAGGACTCTGACCCACGGCCTTTGCAACCGTCAGGCCTGGCAACCGAGCCACCCCTGCAGCGACCAGCCCCAAACAGCAGGACTTGGGCAACGATGGCCAGTTTCCTCCTTCCCCGGCCCCACGGCGCCATCCAGGACCAGTCTATCAAGCGGCTGCCCGCCTCCATCTCCCACCTCCACTCCAGCGGCAGCCCACCCACCTGAGCTTCCCCTTTCCCCCACTCTAAAGCTGTCCCCTCCTCGGCCTGCCTTAGAGACTGTGACCGGGGCTGTCTAAATGGACAGTGGTGGGCCCTCTTGCTACGGCCAGCTCTGAACAAATAGCCTCTCTGTGTTTGCATTTGGGTGGCCAACCAGGGGCCGGTGGACCTTGCAAAAGGCCAGAAATTCCAGATTTTCAAAAATACCACTGGGGACCTGGTTTACCTTGCTCCTGGCCATTCTCAACTTCCAGGCCTCAGTGCAGGGTGGCCCTTCGCTGGAACCTGGGTTAGTGAGCTGTCCGTCACTGTGGCCAGATAACCACCTTATGCAGGTTTAATCTGGCTCACAGTTTGGAGGTTCCAGTTTGTGGTCAGTGGGCTCCATGGCTTTGGGGCCTGTGGTGAGGCAGGGGGGACCGGGGACAAAACAGCTCAGCTCCTGGCCAGGCAACAGCACAATTCCCTTCAAGGACATGCCCCTGGTGACCTAAAGATCTCCCACTAGGCCCCACCTCTTCAAGGCTCCACAGCCTCCCAACAGTGCCTCCCTGGGGGTCAAACCTCTTTGGTGAATAGCAGAATCCCAGTTCAGCCATCTGTTAGCTGGGTGGCTTCATGTGAGCAGAGTTAACACCTCTGCAGCCCAGTTTCCCAGCCATTTCCAAGCTATGTGGCTATGGGCCAGTGACTTAACCTCTCTGAACCTTGCTTGCGGGGTGATCCTTCCTATTCCAGAGCTCAGTGCAGTGATTGGATGAGATTTGCCTGTTGTATGTGTGGCAAAGGATCTGGGACACAAGCAGCAGATGTGATCTCTAGATGGAAGTTCATAGCAGAAAGAACGATGAGGCTCGGTCCCCAAGGCTACGTGGACCTGCGGATCCAGCCTGAGACCTGCCAGAGTAGCTTCCAGCCTCGTGGGTGGGAGAGCAGTGCTGGCAGGAGCTGGAGATGCCTGGGCACTATTGCTGCATCCTTTCCCGCCACCCTCGACCACTAAATGCCTCTCCACTGCCTCCCTCCTTTGTCAGTCTCAGGAGAGATGAAACTATTTATCACAGCAGAACATTCCTAATGAAAACACCCTGTGGGACAACTAGTGGTGTCCACGAGGACCAGCTGGATGGAGACTGCAACGGAGTGGACAGTTCTACCCAAGGGAACCACTGCTCAGCTCCCATCGGGTCTGCCACTTGGGCATGTGGGTCTTGTCTTGGTCCACTTGGGGTTGCTATAACAAAATGCCTGATATTGGATAATATTTAAAGAAAAGAGGTTCATTTGGCTCATGAGTCTGGGGGCTGGGAAGGTCCAACAGCATGGAATCTGGAGAGGATTTCCTGGCTATGTCACAACATGGTAGATGGTATCACATGTGAGAGTGGCTTGGTGTAAGAGGTCAGACAACCAGGAAAGAAACAAGAGACCCGAGGATGGCAGGCCTCTTCTTTTATAACAACTCCCTCCTGTGGGGACTGACCTACTCCTGCCAGACCTGGCCCACTCTGAAGACCAGCATTAACCCCTTCAGGAGTGCAGTCGCCATCCCAGTCACCTTCTGCGAGACCCTGCCTCCCACGGGTCCTACCACCTTTTGGTATCATTTGGGGACGAGCATTTTGCAGGGGGATACCATGTCCAAACTATAGCAGTTCTATTTTGCTAGAACTTCTCGTTTTTCAAGAGAAACCAGAAACCTGGAACGTTCTGTGCAGTCTCCTGATTTTTTAAAATATTTTTTAGCTGCAGGAGAACATATTATCTTTATTTTCTTTTTATTGGTGCTGAGGATGGAACCCGTGCCTCTCGTGTGCTAGGCGAGCGCTCTGCCTCTGAGCCCCGCCCCAGCCCTCAGTCTCCTGATTTTTGATCAAGGTTCCAATGTTTACAATGCCTTCTGGGCTGGGTGGCGCCTATGCAGCTGGCTTCTGCTGGGGCCACGGTTTCACAATTTCTTTCTTAGTATTTAAATCCCTTGGAAGCGCATCACACTTGTGAGAGGTGGAGTAGGCACAGGACCCATGGGGCAAGGCGACAGCATCTCTGGGAACCAGGAGCCAGTGAGACTGTGGATGTGGCCTCGGTTGACAGGTCTTTCTCCGCCTCCCAGGCGCAGGCTTCCCCTAGGGATCTGTCTGGCTGCTTCCAGGATTTTCCAGAAGCATGAGGAGCATAATAATCACAGGCCCTGGAGTGTGGGAAAGGCTGTCCTGTCTCTCTTGACTGGGATCTTAACACTGTGCAGGGGAGCAGGAGGGAGCCCGTCGGGGTTCTGGGGTTCTTTTGCTAGTGCTGATAATGACAGCGGAGAGCAATAATAATAGCGACAGCGCCTTGGGTTACTGTGAGGAATTCGTGCACAGGGCATCGAGGTATATTTTGAAAGGGTGAAACAGTGACTTGTGTCCTCCTAGTTTCCTCCCCCAGTTTCCCCAGGCTCACATTAGCAGGAAAGAAAGACTCCACCAGCCGGTATGGGCACTCTGACAGCCATCGCTGGGCGTTTACAGATGACCGCCTGTTCCTGGCCAGAGACCCTCATTTTGTTCAGAAGCCAGGGGACCTCTTGCCTCCTTGAGGCCAGGCCCTGCCCCAGCCCCACGGGTGACTCATGATTGGTCTAAACTGTGTCTGCAATTCCTACATATTGGCGGGGCGCGTGTGCGATTCTGACTGGCGAGATCCAAGGGCAGGTAAAGGGGGTCTGTGCTTGAAGATTTTCCTCTTGCTTACAAAGGAACTGGAGGAAGGGTTTAGTAGGGTGCCTGGAACTGTAGTGACCACTTTGCTGCTACAAGGATAGTCAAATCCTAAGGTTGACGAGCCACAAGAGGGCAACTGAGTGCCTGGCCTGAGTTCATGTCACTTAGCATCCTAGTCTTCTAGTTTCTCAGGTGCCCAGTGCTCCCAGGTGCCACAGGACCTTTGTCCATTCTACTCCTACCTGCCGGACTATTCTTCCCTTCTTCCTAGTTAGCACCTCTTGCCCCACTCAGATCTTAGATCCAGTGATATCCAACAAAAACAAACCCAGACTTAGATAGGGAGAGACTTCAGTTGGAAACAGAGACTTCAGTTGGAAACACTGTGGCTCTCCTTAACGACACTGTATTGCACAGTTGTGATTGGCTGAGCGAATAGATCTTTTTTTTTTTTTTTTTTTTTTAAAAGAGAGAGGGGGGGGGGAAATTTTTAATTTTTTTTTTTTTTTTTTTTTTTTTTAAAGAGAGAGCGAGAGAGGGGGACAGAGAGAGAGAGAATTTTAACATTTATTTTATTTTTTCTTAGTTCTCGGCGGACACAACATCTTTGTTTGTATGTGGTGCTGAGGATCGAACCTGGGCCGCACACAGGCCAGGCGAGTGCGCTGCCACTTGAGCCACATCCCCAGCCCTGAGCGAATAGATCTTAAGTGTTTCTGCCACAAATAAGAAGGTAAGTCTATGAGGCGATGTACAGGCTAATTGTTTTAATCACTTTACAACATATTCTTACATGCATAAAGATTCTCATTGTCGATGAGGCCTCAATAAAGTGCAAAAGGAAAGATGGGAGGGAGGGTGAGAGGGAGACGGGGTAGGAGGAAGGGGAGACATTGCCATAGAGAGAATGTTCCCAGCTCAGAAATCTACAAAGCATCTTGGAATCAAGCAGAAAAAGTTTTTTGGTTTTTTTTTTTTCTTTTGCAGGTGATATTGGAGCAAGCAGAAGTAAGAGGAGCCTTTTTCATGCGAAGGAAGGTGGCCCATGGGGACTCAGTGGAAGGGTCTCCCTGTGGGGAGCTGTTCCCAGCAGAAGGTGACACGGGAGGCACATTCCACTCCCCTTTTGCCCTCGCTCAGGGTCAGGAGAGCAGAACTCAGGAGCCTACGGGAGAACCCCGGGTACACTTTGATTTAAAAAAAAAAAAAAACGAAATTAAGAAATGGGCAACTGAACACTTGGTCAACCAAACCCTCAGTGAAGCCCTTCCTCATCCTCTCAACTTGAACCCCGAAGCCAGACTGCCTGGATTCAAGTCCCAGCTCTGCCACCTACCAACCCTGAGACCTTGGACAGATTCCCCAGCCTTTCTGTGCTTCTCTGCATGATGGTGAGTCACCGTGGGACTGAATGAGTTGAACGGGCCCCTGGTACGCAGTAAGTGCCTCATGAACATCAGCGGCCACCGCAGGGTCCCTGGGCCTGCGGAGAGCTGCCCTCAAGCCCCTTGCCAGCAGGACCGAGGCCTCTCTGGCTCATGACCAAGCTGGTAAGGCGGCTGTTGCGTAGAAGGTTCTTAGTAAACGTTTTAAATGACACCAGCTTGCAAGCCACGGAGAGCAGCGGTGGAAGGAGATGAAAGCTCGTGAGCCCTTTGGGCCGGCAGCAATTCGGTGAGAGCCCCAGGAAATCCTGTGACTCACCAAGACCTGCCAGTTGTCCAGGGAGCCAGCTTCTCTGGCCTGCGCCTCTGGCCGGTCCAACCCTGTCCCCCAGTGGAGCTCCACTTGCTCTTCCAGGGGAAGGAGGCCGGCACCTTCCTCAAGGCGCCTGAGTGATGGGCCTAGAAGGGAAAGCTGTTTGCCTGTTGGGCAGCTGCTTCCCGCCCCTGGTGAGGAGGGCCCTGCCTCTGCTGTTCCTGTGCCTGGCTGGCTGGGGGACTTGTTTGGGCTCCGTAGTTCTGGTTTTATTGACCTGAAGTTTTTAACATCAATTTATCCCCCCGATTTTTTGGGGGGGGATACCAGGAATTGAACTCAGGGGCACTGGACCTCTGAGCCACATCCCCAGCCCTATTTTGTATTTTATTTAGAGGCAGCGTCTCACTGAGTTGCTTAGGGCCTTGCTAAGTTGCTGAGGCTGGCTTTGAACTTGTGATCCTCCTGCCTCAGCCTCCCAAGCCACTGGGATTGCAGGCGTGTACCACTGCACCTGGCTAATTTATCCTCTTTTTGTTTCTTATTTTTGGCTCCTTTATCAGTTTAAGCACCAGAAGAAGAAAAAGAGAGAGAGAGAGAGAGAGAGAGAGAGAGAGAGAGAGAGAGAGAGAGAAAAAAAACTCAAGGTGGCTGAATCAGGAGTCATCAAACTTTTTCTGTCCAGGAGTCAATGGTGACTATTAGGCCTAGGATCTCCTAAGCTGCAGCTCTACCTTTGTGACTTAGGCCATCTGTAAAGCAATGTTCAGGGCTGTGTTCTAATAAAAGTTTATTTGCAAAACAGGTGGCAAAAGATTCCAGTTATATGAACCGTCTGGAACTGGAAATCTCTAGAGGCAGAAAATAGCTGGGCGGCTGCCTGGGGCTGCAGGTGGGAGGTGAGGAAAGATCTGCTGAAATTACCTCCTGGGGGTGGTTGCCCAGCTCCCTGACTATTATAAAAGGTGCTAAAGGGGGGCTGGGGTTGTAGCTCAGCGGCAGAGAGCTTGTTTAGCATGTGTGAGGCACTAAGTTTGATCCTCAGCACCACATAAAAATAGAAGTATTGAGTCCATCCACAGCTAAAAAGATATTTTTTTAAAAAGGTGCTAAACTGAACATGCAAATGGGTGCATTTTTGGAATAAGTCTTTTTTGGTAAAGCTGTTTACAAAGAGGAGCTCTGGGCTGGGGATGTGGCTCAAGCGGTAGCGCTTGGCATGCGTGCGGCCCAGGTTCGATCCTCAGCACCACATACAAACAAAGATGTTGTGTCCGCCAAAAACTAAAAAATAAACATTAAAATTCTCTCTCTCTCTCTCTCTGTCTTTAAAAAAAAAAAAAATTAAAAAAAAGAGGAGCTCACCAGGACTCAGAGAAGCACTATTCACAATAGCCAAAAGGTGGAGACAGCCCAGATGTCTGTCTGGATGAACAGATAAACTAAGTGCCAGGTATCCTCACGGTGGGACGCTTGCCTGTGTCACTCATGACAGGGATTCGTTCTGAGAAATGCATCCCGGGGTGTTTTCACCATCGTTTGAACCGCAGAGAGCACTGACATGAAGCTAGAGGGCGTAGGACCATCTCTCCACGTGGCCTCTGCGTGCACGAGCCGATGAGCTTGTGCCAGCGTAGCACAGCATGCTGCTCTCCAGTGGTCATTTTTTATAAGTAGGCAGAGTACACTCCAAAATAAGGAGGGAAAGATGACATAATGGATACTCAAAGCAGGAGCAGTCCCTTGTCCTCCTCAGCGAGCGTGATGACCGCATGTGCTATGGTTTTACAGAGCTGGTGGGGCAGCACGTCTGTCAACACCAGCATTACCAAGACGGGTGAGTGACGCGTTGTGCCACCAAGTTACGAGGATGACAACGTCACTAGGTGACAGGAATCTTTCAGCTCCCTTTTAATCTTCTGGGGCGCCCGTGGTACAGTAGGCAGCCCATTATTGACCCAGACATCGGGATTGCATTGGTCAGCCCCAGAAAGTCCCAACACAGGGACAAACAGGCGCTCCTCTCCAGTTGGCAGGTCAGTGGACTTCCCAAGGAATGAACTTATAAAACTTTTGTTTGGGGGGCGGTGCTGGGGATGGAAGCCAGCGCCTTGTGCACGGGAGGCCAGCACCCCACCAACTGAGCTCTCCCCAGCCCGTGTACTCTCATAACTGAAAAGTACATTCTGCTAAACAGAAGCCCAGGGGTAACGCCGGCCCTACCACCTCTGGGGGCTTCTGGCCCACTTCTGCTCAGAGCCCCCTCCTCCTGGCCCTTCTGGGGTCTCAATTCTGTCCTTGAGCCCTAGCACATCCATGCTGACTCCCTCCAGGACGAGGCCAGAGGTTCCCAAGTGGAGGTCATTTGACAATTTCTGGAGACAGGTGGTTGCACAACCCAAGTGATCCCAGGGATCCTCAAGGATTGTTACAGCATCTGGTGAGCGGGGGACAGAAATGCTGCTAAACATCCCAACGTGCTCAGGATGCAACAAAGAATGGTCTGATCCAAAATGCCAAGGTGGAGAAAACCACATGCCTGAGCCAGTAATAATAACACGATCCCCACTAACCACCATTCTGGAGGGTCTTCCAGAGGCGGGGCACCAGGGGACGAGCACTGCACCATTTAGCAAATGAGAGCCATCCAGCAGCCCTAAAAGTGAGGTCAAATGGTGATCTCTATTTTGTAGGTAAGGAAACTGCAGGCCAGAGAAATTAAGTACTTTGTCCCAATCGCACAGCAAGTATCAGAGCTGGAATTAGAATCCAAGTCTATTTGATTCCAAATCCCATTCAAACCCCCAGGGGACCTGCAAACCGCCTCACTCCCTCCTCCCTTGAATTAGGGTAGGTGCTCTTTTCTTGGGCAAGAACTTGTGGAACTTCTGGTTGAAATAAACAAGTCCCTGGGGCCTTGTTGTTGGAGTTGGAGCCCCTGCTCCTGGGTTTGCGTTCTTGGTTTGTCCTACACCCAGAATGCGGAGGCCACTGCCCCAGTCAGATCTTGACCTTCAGGGAAGGAGTTAAGGGCAGCTTTCCTGAGCGGTGAAAGCCACAGAGTCTTAGCCCCAGGGGATCTGCAGGCGGCCTCCAGCCCTCTTCCCGTAGGCCCCAAGTTCCAATGGCTGCTCCCTGGCTGGAGAGGCAGGGCCTCCCACTGGAAGTGTGCTGGGGCAAACCTGTGGCCCATTTCCTCCGCCCTTTTGGCTCAAGGTCTGTAGAGTCCCAGGACTCAGAGACCAGGTCCGGCCTCTTTCAGTGTCAGCTCCTCCCTGACAAGAAAGAGGCCGTTGGCTACTCCCTACCTCGGGAGGAAGCCTGCGTGTGTCTTCCAGAGCTGAGATCCCACCTGTCAAGCCTCCTCCCGCCACGCCACGCTCCAGGGAGCCGTAGTTCCTCACAGGAGCTGGTGGCCAGGGATGTCTTGACTCTGCAGAACACAAGACTATTGGGCCCCACTCTCTTCCAGAGAAGAGAGGGACAAGTGAGTGGGGCTCTGAGCTCACCCCACCAGACCTTACGGCCACCTTCCTTTCTCCGTTGAAGCACAGCACGCACGCAGGTGAGCAGACGGATCGCAGACACACGCGTCCTCATGGACACCACAAAAGGAGCACAGCTGGGTGAGCACCATCCAGGTCACAAAACAGAGCATTAGCATCTCCCCAGAAACCCTGCCAGGGGCACCAGGCTGTCCTGCCCCTCCTAGTCCATGGCACCCAGTATCCTGAGACCAACACCATAGTTTTTGTTGTTGTTGTTGTTGTTTTTAATATTTTTTAAGTTGTAGATGGACACGATACCTTTATTTTATTTATTTTTATGTGGTGCTGAGGATCGAACCCAGTGCCTCACGCATGCCAGGCAGGCACTCTACCCCTGAGCCCCAGCCCCAGCTGTTGTTGGGTTTTAACTTACAAATTTAAGTTCTTTTGAACATGGACACCTATAGATTCGTATATTTAAAACATTGTAGGTACTAACCCAGGGCAAACAAAGGACCCCGTGACACCAAGGAAACACTAAATTTGCAAATAAGGCAAATTTGACTTGGAAGCAATGTCTTTGGACCTTACAATTTCTGAGTAGAATATCTGTCTTTTAAAAGTCCTGTTCTTGGCTGGAGTTGTGGCTCAGTGGTGCAGCCTTACCTAGCATGTATGAGGCCCTGGGTTCCATCCTCAGCACCACAAATAAATATATAAAATAAAGGTCCATCTACAACTAACAAAAAAAAAGTCCTGTTCTGGGAATGGGGATGTAGGTTGTTGGCACAGCACTTAGGGCACTTGCCTAGCAGGAGCCAAGTCCCTGGGTTCAATCACCAGTACTGCAAAACCAAAAATAAACAAAGAAAAGTCCCGTTCTGGTGCTGAGGCTTATTGTGCTTCCATTTACGATGCTTTGTGATTTTTCTAATCATGGCTTTGTTGAGAATCATTGAGTACTCTATACAATGACCCACTGTCATGATTCAGATATGAGATGTCCCCCAAAAACTCATGTGAGAATTCAAGAATTTCCAGAGGTGGGCTGGGGATGTGGCTCAAGCGGTAGTGCGCTCGCCTGGCATGCGTGCGGCCCAGGTTGGATCCTCAGCACCACATACAATCTAAGATGTTGTGTCCGCCGAAAACTAAAAAATAAATAATAAAAATTCTCTCTCTCTCTCTCTCTATCTTTAAAAAAAAAAAAAAAAAAAAATTTCCAGAGGTGAAATGATTATGCATGGTGTAACTTACCCAGTGGATTAATTCACTGATGTGGATTAACTGGCGGGTAACTGTGGGCAGGCAGAGTGTGGCTGGAGGCGGTAGGCCACTGGAGGTACGCCTTTGGGGTTTATGTTTAGCCCTTGGTGAGTGGAGCTCAGCTCTCTCTGTGCTTCCTGGTGCCACGCCCATCTGCCATGATGCTCTGCCTCCCCTTGGGCCAGAGCAATGGAGCTGGCCAGACATGGACTGAACCTCTGAAACCGTGAGCCTGAATAAACGTCTTCTCCAAGTTGTTCTTGTTAGGCATTTTGGTCACAGTGATGCAAAGCTAACATACCAGTTCAAGTGTCCACTCTCATGGTCTTAACATAGCCACAGGGTTGTAGAACCATCACCACAATCAATTTTAGAATATTTTCATAACCCCATTTCCTCCTCAGCCCTCGCAGCTCTAGAAAACCACGCTCTGTCTTTGTGGATTTGCCTACTATGGACATTTCATAAAAAGGAAATTCTAAAATGTGTGATCCCTTGGGACTGGCTTCTTTCATGGAGCATAACTCTTCTCAAGATTCATTCACGTGGTAGCCTGGAGCACTACTTCCTTTTTATTGCTAAATGATAGTCCATTGAATGGATATACCACATCTTATATACCCATTCATTGGATAATGGACATTTGGTTTCTCCTTTGGCTAGTCACACCACATGCTAGTTTTGCCAGGCTATGACTTTATATAGCATACTATACACATGTAAATGTTTTCTTTTGTGCCTGGCTTCTTATCCATGTCGCCACCAGTCACTATGGGTTGTTCATTTTCACTGCTGAATAGGATTCCTTTGTTTGAGTACACCAATTATTTTTCTACTCTGCTCCTTATAGACATTTGAGTTGCTTCTGATTTAAAACTATTGCTAACAATACTTTCATGAGCATTCTGGTAGGGTCTTTTAGTGCACATGTGCACAGGTTTCTGTTAGTATGTGTGAGGAATGAAATGACTGGGTCATTGGGTGTGTAGTGCACATTCGTAGAGACTTTGGTTATTTCAAAATTGGTATCTAATGCCAGTATTCTAAAGTGGTGTGTCCGTGGACACTCCCAACAGTTGCTCACATCCTCCTCGAGGCTTGGTTGCATCAGTCCTGTAACTGCCTCCGAGCTGGCCGGCCTGTTCTGGGACCTCACTGTGGCTTTAACTTGTGAATGAATGAAGGTGGAACTTTTGTGTTTCATTGGCCACTTAAATATCCATCCGTGGGGGTGGCGGTGGGGTAAGTGCCTGTTTAAATCTCTGGCCTAGTTTCATATTTTGTCTCTCTACTGGAATTGACTTGTGTGAATGTCGTAAGATAAAGTCAGATTTCATTTTTATACTTTGGGAGATCTGAATGGCCCACCACCATTACAGGAAAACCCACCTTTCCCCCGCTTTTTACGACGACATCTTTGTCATGTGTAAAAGGTCCAGATTCATGTGGTCGGTTTCTGGTTCCTCAATTCTGAGCCATTTGCCTATTTATTTTGCTCCAGTTCCATGCTACACTTGAAACATCGTCACCATTGTCACCATCGTCACCATCGTCATTATCATTTCCATTTCACAAATTAGGAAACTTACTTAAGAGTTTGCCCAAGTGTGTACTCGATTTGATATTTAATGGCAGAGCTGGGACCGAATTCAGGGAGCCTGCTTTACAGTTCACGCTTTCAAAAGGCCATATGGGTCACCCATGGTGGTGGACTTGTTTAATCCCAAAGACTCAGGAGGCTGAGGTAGGAGGATCTCAAGTTTGAGGCCAGTGTGGACAATTTAGTAAAAACTTGTCTCAGAATAGAAAGGGCTGGACTGAGGTTGTAGTTTAGTTGTAGAGCGCTTGCCTAGCATATGTGGAGGCACTGGGTTCGATTCTCAGCACCGCATCTAAATAAACAAATAAAGGTCCATCAACAACTAAAAAGTTAAAAAAAA